ATGACATCTAAATCTAACATGTTAATAGTTGTACTTTGTCTTTTTACGTATTCTATATTATTTGATTGTTAATTTGCGGCGAAAATTTTTTAAATTTTCAGTAATGCGAGGGCACGCTCCCCTCCCCGCGCGATTTTTTAACTATCAGTCACCGCCGGCTACTTTTTTGGTACAACCGCCTACTTCAAATCATTCTGAAACCCCTGCTCAGAGCTGGGACGATCTGCCGGGGTTGTAGAGAAAATGACTGATACATTGCCAGATGGGAAAAATTCCAAGGCCTTCGCGGACAATTATTTCTCTTCTGTTGCACTTGCTGAAAAGTTGAAGAAGCACCAAATATATTACATTGGCACAGTCAAGATGAATCGTGTGACTGGAAACAAATTGCTGAAACCCAAGGAAATGAAAAAGACTGCTCGAGGACATTGTGTTGCCCAGGTTGAAAGAAACACGAATGTGGTATGTGTCCAGTGGAATGACAACAAAGTAGTTGGCCTTATTTCATCCTATGTTGGGAGAGAACCCATGACAGAGGCAAGGCGTTGGGATAAGAAGGAAAAGAAACATGTGCAAATCCAGAAGCCAAAGATTGTGGAAGAGTACAATAAGTTTATGGGAGGCATTGACCTTCTAAACATGTGTACAAACTTGTACAAGTACAATATAAAGTCTCGTAGGTGGTATATGTATATATTCTTTCATTCCTTACACTTGCCCTAGTAAATTCCTGGTTTCTGTACAGAAGGTACCATCAAGAGCAAGGTACAGATAAGAAAGAAGTGCTCCCTCTCAGGAAATTTCAAGCTGCTTGTGCGTATGCTCTGACCTCAGCCGGCAAAGGAAAGAAGCGAACATGTGGTCGCCCATCATTAGAAGAGCAGGAAATTTTGGAAGCAAACAGGTCCCAGAAGAAGAGGTATGTTGGTGTACCTGAAGATGTCCAGAAAGATGACTTTGACCACTTCCCCATGTATAACCCAACACGTCAATGGTGCAAGGTTTGCCCAACAAAGAATTCTGCTTTCTCACACATCAAGTGCATGAAGTGCAATACTCACCTGTGTTTGAATAAAGATAGAAACTGCTTTGTTAAATTTCATAAATGAATTTAAGTTAACTAGAACACTGGATCACAAACACTGGATTTACATTTATAATATTATACATTATTTTAAACTTGTATTAATTAATAATAATTATTATTATAATTAATATTTAATAATATTAATATTTAATAATATTAATTACAATAATAAATATTATTATTTTTAGTCAATTATATATATCATATAGTAAATAAATAAGATAAAGTAGAGAATTTCATGCTTAGCATAACCATAGATGCCATGAACAGGTTATTTTTCAAATTATATAGCATATCAATGTAACATGATATTTAAAAAAATTTACCCACCAAAGCCCGTGGTATCATATTTGATACCAACCAAAAAATCTGCGCACGACCACTTAGATCAAAAATTTTTTTTGAACATGAATCTTACACCATTTGCAGCTATGCTACCAAGTTTGGTAATTTTCGAAGGGGTTTTTCCATTACTCTGTTCACGCGAATATGTTGTTGTAAATAAGATTTTCACGACAGATTTCGATCTCAAAAGGTCTCTGTGAACGATTCTGTGGCCTATAGCCGTGAAAGTTGCTCGCGAAAGGGCAACTGGAAAAAATATATTCATATTGTACTATTTATAGCGGTGAGCCCAGTCGTTTGTTTTGGCGAACCAGCCCGTTTCAATAGTCTCATGTAAACACGGTATGAAACAGCTCAGAAATTCGACTCCCATGCATGTAAACAGACCCATCAATATATAATACAGGGTGTCCAAAAAAAATTAATCGAACTTTGGCGGGGGCGTAGGAACCGGGGGGGAGGCAGGCCCCCCAAGTTTTGGCAAGTGCCCTTTTTCCGGGAGCAAAGTGCCCTTTTTTTGCGTGAAAAAGTTTCATTAAAATTGCATTTTTTGCCCAAAGGGCACTTTTGAAAAATTCAATCTATGTTATGTCCGGAAAAATGTTTTAATTTCCGGGAAAAATATCATATATCCGGAAAATTTTTTGGTATGTCCGGAAAATTGTTTTCGTATTTAGGAAAAAAGTTGTATAACCGGAAAAAATTTTTTGGTATGTCCGGAAAATTTTTTTACCCCTAAAATGGTACACTGACCGAAAAATTTTTGGGGAGGTCGCCAAAAATAATTTTTAGATGCCCTTTTTTTTTTCGAAAAGTGCCCCTCAAAGCCTGCCCCCCCCCAACTTTTCGAAGCTTCCTACGCCCCTGAACTTTGGGATGCTGCGCATGTATATAGTTGATCATTTTCCACCGCTCTGCCTAAAAGCATTGTTCGAGTTTCGAACATTTGTCCAAGTGGACGTTGTTCATGTGGGAAACAGTCGGCTATCGCAAGTTCTTTGCAACTTCCAGGTTCATTAAAGTTAAAACCATCTTTAAATTTACCAAGCAAGACCAAGGTAGCACGCAAGAGTTCGTTTTGCCTGTCTTTTAATCACTTTATTACCTTAGTTTTGTTTTTGTCCGCCATTTTGAAAATATATGCGGTATCCTTCATTAATGTATCGCAGGCGCTAATCACGAAGTTTTCGGTTTCGGAACTCATTCGGCCGAACTTCGTGATTAGCGCCTGCGATACATTAATGAAGGATACCGCATATATTTTCAAAATGGCGGACAAAAACAAAACGAAGGTAATAAAGTGATTAAAAGACAGGCAAAACAAACTCTTGCGTGCTCCCTTGGCAAGACTTGATTGTTCTTAAATTTGAATCCGACCGTGCTGTAACATGCCATTGCCATTTTTTTATACACCCTGTATATATTGATCTTGTCATCATCTTATCAAAATTAAACTTTCTATACACTTTATCTTTCTAGGTTGATGTCAAATGCTTAATATTAATTTAATTTAATTTAATAAGTTTTGTCACAATATTACAGATAAATACATAAACAATGTTACGAACAACCATAGTGATAGGATGCAGTAACAGGATAACTCCCAATTGATAACGGCACCCTTTACATAAAAAGCCATAAAATATACATATAAAATATATATACAAACATTGATAAAACATTCATTTCTTTTGTGTTTTCTTCATGAATTGTTAATGCTATATGATTGAGTATTTTAAGTATATCTAGCCTTCGTTATTTTGCCAATTAGTACTCATTTATCAAACACTTGCAAGGAGAGAGCTGAAATCTCGATCAGGCGTAATCATAGGCTACTTATTAACAATTAGCTAATTACAACAAACTATGAGCATAGTTTGAAGACCAGTGTCATTAAACATCAAAACTTGTTCAACATCCATATAATAGTTGAAAAGAGTCTTAGGTACGAAAGTTCTGAAATCTTAGAAAATGTCATTCGATTCTGTGTATATATTGAGACCAAGATTTGTCTGTAGAACTCGAAGTTTTGAAAACACCATATCCCACTCGTAAAACATGGTTTGTATCCACCGCGAGACTTTGGCCTCTGCCTCAGATGTCGCTTTAAACCCCGTTCTCCCGTGCAAAACGCGCGTATTATGCGTCATTACGACTTGCCCTGGCTTGAGACGGACGCTAACGACATTGCTGTAAAATAATTTTGATAGTTGGTGGTATGCTTCGTAGAACGCAAGTACTTCCTCTGTGGTTGACGTTTTGTTTGCCACAGTCATAACTGCGGGCTCAAGTAACAAAGTCTCAATACGACCTTTATTGTTCATGCTGAAATAAAAAATATTATTGTAAGTTGTAAAACAATCGGCCGTAGGGACGTAGGGAAGCATTTGGAGTTAGGGGTGGGGCGTTAAAGAAATTTACTTGAAATTTAAACTACAAGTTTACGATCTGCTGTTGTTGTGTTTTGAAATTTAAACTACAAGTTTACGATCTGCTGTTGTTGTGTCTACAAGTTTACGATTGCTGTTGTTGTGTTTACTGTTGTTGTGTTTACTGTTGTTGTGTTTACTGTTGTTGTGTTTACTGTTGTTGCGTTTACTGTTGTTGCGTTTACTGTTGTTGTGTTTACTGTTGTTGCGTTTACTGTTGTTGTGTTTACTGTTGTTGTGTTTACTGTTGTTGTGTTTACTGTTGTTGTGTTTACTGTTGTTGTGTTTACTGTTGTTGTGTTTACTGTTGTTGCGTTTACTGTTGTTGTGTTTACTGTTGTTGTGTTTACTGTTGTTGTGTTTACTGTTGTTGTGTTTACTGTTGTTGTGTTTACTGTTGTTGTGTTTACTGTTGTTGTGTTTACTGTTGTTGTGTTTACTGCTGTTGTGTTTACTGTCGTTGTGTTTACTGTCGTTGTGTTTACTGTCGTTGTGTTTGCTGTTGTTGTGTTTACTGTTGTTGTGTTTACTGTTGTTGTGCTTACTGTTGTTGTGTTTACTGTTGTTGTGTTTACTGTTGTTGTTGTTGTTGTTACTGTTTGGATGCGTGTTACAAAAATCTATAGAATCTCGACAAATTTCGAAAATGGTTATGTTCGTTTGACTATTTTGTCACTTTTCTCCACTCAATTTCTGTTATACTTCACGTCAAACGGTGACATAAAAATTACCAAACATTTTAAAGACCCAACATACCTGATCATGGGAGCAGAAAGATCAAAGCAATACTCTCCATATTCTGCAACGCCTTCATCATAAAATCTCATCGGGAAAGTCGTCAACACTTCAAACGCCTCAGGATGGTGTCTCTTAAGTTGTTTCACGGCATGATATCCATCAGTGAATATACTTTCGCCTCCATTGGGACTTTGTTGGATACAATGTAGTGCTAGAATCTAAAATAATCAAACATGCATGCTTACATATAAAGGTCGCGTTTCTTAGTAAGGAATTGGAATTTATTAACATTGCCATTATTAGCCATTTCCCAAAGTCCTGGGTCTATTCGCGCAGAAGGAGAGACCCTGGGAACGAGGTTGGTCGCGCAAATCCCATGTTGGAGGGACAAGAAATATGGCAGCACACATTTAAATTAAAAGAGATATTTCATTTTTGGTCGTCTAAAAAGTTGATACTTGATAGTAGATACTTCTTTTCTTTCACATATTTGACGCCTGTCACCATATATTTTGTCACTCCAAACTATCCCAGAATGCACTGTGATCTCTCTTGGGAAAAGGCTAATTTTATTTACACGAATACTTGAAATATATAGCAGTGATAAGGAGACATCTAAAAACGATAGGTCTTTTAAGGTATGTCGACCCCTGAAGCATGAGATCATGTGAACGTTGTCATTTATGTGAACACATGCAGTTAACCCTGAGAAACAAATCCAATCTCAATTCACCCCTGGGGCCGGTTGTTCAAAGCTGGGTTAACGCTAACTCTGGATTAAAATTTAACCTGCTGTTTTAGTTTGTGTATTTCTACACGTCTGTTTATTTCAAAACTTCAGAGAAGTAAACTCCTATCGATCCAAACAAGATCTCTGAAGAAATACTTCCAAATTTATAGACAAGCTGTCAGGACGTTTAATTTGCTTTGAATTTTAGGTTAACCCAACCTCGTTCCCAGGCTCTTTGCTCTTGTGAAGCAAAGACCCTGGTCGGGGCTGGTCACGTGACCCCGCAGATTCTGCGTGGTAAATTGAATTGATCTTAGGGAGGGGTGGTAGAGGAGTCTGTTTGTTACGTTTGGGAAATTGCAATTTTATGTGTTATAGTTTCGGGTGATAAAAATGTAATTTGCAACAAGAAATCGTGAAAGGAACAGTTTTAAATTCGTATTCATCATGACACAACTTCCTGCTACACTGAATGTCATCAATAATAAGTGTTGCGGTACATTTCAAGCAAGAAGCTGGATCATATTTCACTTCCAAGGACTCCACACGCGCCTGGCTTGCGAAGTTGAGCACGCATCGCCGTAGAAACATATATGTCTTCCCAATTCTATACCGACAGATCGATCAAACGATACTAAATGAACGATATGGTTGTTTATTGTTGAAGTGTATCCTATCCGATATTCAACAAAGCCAAAGGATTTATTTTATACTGGAAGATTTCCCAAACATCGCTAACTGTGTGTGTAAACAATAGTGCTATCTTGACTGTGAAAGCACAGGATTAAAACCCGTTATGGACTGTAAAATTCCTTTCATTTACATTGCTGAAACTCAACGATCAAGAATGATTATGTCGAAGACTCGAAGTATAGCTATCTGTCATCAGACGAACACCGAGACTCCACTGTGCGTTTACGTGCGTGCGGTACATATAACTTGAATATTTAGGACGATATATGCACCAGATTGCACCGGACACTGGTATTGTACTTCATAGTAAATTATTTCATATTTTGTGTATTACAGTAATTTACAGCAGGCACATATAAACCTTATAAAGACCTTTCATTCCCATTGCCCATTCAGTGCTTTATTAAACCTTATAAAGACCTTTCATTCTATTGCACATTCAGGGCTTTATATTTGAAGTCTTTGAAGAATAACCCGACAGCTTCTTTCGACTTGTATAATGCTGCTGTGAGTCATCAATATTTAAATCAACTTTAAATAATCTTTATCGTATACTGTATAAATGACATTTTAGCAGTTTCACCAAACCATACTAGAGGCAAACAACCTATCTATCAATGGAAACTTTAAAAGGCTTATTAAAACTCATTAATTAAGTAATTCTATGAGCTGGACTTCGTGCGCATATATACAGTTTATGAATTATGTATATATATCCCTGATAAAACATAGAGACACTTTATACCAGATATAATAAAAAATACTTTGCTAAACCTTTTCGGCTATCATTCCTTTGCATTCAAGGGGCGAGGGTGAATGGCTATATAATTCATATCGGAGATTCTGTGCAATCTGATTTAGTGATTTTGGCTTCAACAAACAGGTACTTGTGCAGACAAAAAAGGAAATGCATACAGTTGTGAATTGTCGTATAATTTTTTACTGTTGATCCCAAACAATTTTGTACATGTACGTTAACACTCCTTCCTACTTTGTGTTGAATATAAACGATGATAACCTTTTTAAAAAAATCTAGAGCACTATGTCTATAAACCGTTTTAGAATCAATAGAATGGACATTCAATGTCTATTTGGCTAGTGTCCAAATGTGTAACGTTTGCTGTAGGACCAGCAAGGCGCAGCGCCTACGACCTACACAGTCGCTTTTGAGACCTCTATTTAACAAAATTTATACCGTTTCCATATGACAACAATTCAATGGCACATTATAAGAATATTATACGTATCTGAACCAGAGCCAGATACAGAAACGTACGCGTGAAATGAAACTGCGCCCCAACCCCGCGAGACAATAAAAGGGCAAATATTTCCAAGCATATACGATCATACGTTTTCGTTGCATGATTTTCTGACTTGTTTGTTGCTATAAGAATCTACAGTTTAGCATGTTTGTATAATTTAAAAGCAAACAGAAACCAATTTAGCAAGTATTTTGAAGTATATATGATTCTCAAAGATGATTGTATAGAACGGTCACTCCTTGCAATCGAAGTGTGAGCACAGGCGGCCCAATCTCGCAAGGGTCAGTATAGACTTATAGTATAAATGTATATTATATTAATGTATATTATAGTAAAAATATGTCGTAAAATATGAATTTTAAAATGAAATTGACTTGCCTATTTGATAGTGTGTGTTCTCCTTGTATTCCTCCTTTGTTGGACTAATATTTTCCGAGACCTTGTACTCGATGTTACTAGTATACATGAAACATGATAAAGGCTAACCATTCCCGATCGTCGATACGACCGCACGGCACTTCGAATCGAAAATTCTCACACTCAAATCGCTTTATTCTCCAAACAAATTCGCCAGCATGTACAACAAATGCCGTTCTTCGAAAATACGGAGGTACTTCGGCGAGATGTACAAGTTTTGGACCATATTTTAACAATGGAAATCAAAACCCATTTTATATTGAACTTACTCGGACCGAAAATTACTACGGCGAACGTCTGCGCAACCAGGCCTCCTTTACCGTTGGATTTACAGGGGGGAAGCAGATATTTCCGGTAACAGCCAGCCAATCGCGGCCGCGTAGCGACTGTTTACATTATTTGAAATTTGATATTCAAAATGAAAACTCCTTCGATCGGATACTGTATAAAACTCGAGATGTTGTCGAAGAAAAGAAAATTAAACGACGGAGATTGAAGAAATTTAAGGAAGAAGTAATATACAGCGGCTCTTTGTTGGAAAGTATGGTAGAATATGATACTTTAATTCAAAATATTATCGTGAATATATTAGTGGCATCCTCCCCCCTGTAAATCCAACGGTAAAGGAGGCCTGGTTGCGCAGACGTTCGCCGTAGTAATTTTCGGTCCGGGTAAGTTCAATATAAAATGGGTTTTGATTTCCATTGTTAAAATATGGTCCAAAACTTGTACATCTCGCCGAAGTACCTCTGTATTTTTGAAGAACGGCATTTGTTGTACATGCTGGCGAATTTTTTTGAGAATAAAGCGATTTGAGTGTGAGAATTTTCGATTCGAAGTGCCGTGCCGTCGTATCGACGATCGGGAATCGTTAGCCTTTATCATGTTTCATGTATACTAGTAACATCGAGTACAAAGTCTCGGAAAATATTAGTCCAACAAAGGAGGAATAAAGGGAGAACACACACTATCAAATAGGCAAGTCAATTTCATTTTAAAACTTATATTTTTCGACATATTTTTACTATAATATACATTAATATAATATACATTCATACTATATAAAGTCTATACTGACCCTTGCGAGATTGGGCCGCCTGTGGTGGTATGTGCAAAATACCGTTACAGCGTCTAGCTGTCGGTGTGCCAACATAGAAAAAACGCCAAAAACTCGATGCCACGTATAGGCTCACTGCTCTTCAAACGACCAAGAAGCAACAACGCGCATCCGTGAAAAACACATATAAAAATAAGAACTCAGATTTAAAGTTAAAATCAGGTACGTTCAATCCTTTTCTTACTTATCACAGCGACAGGCAGAAATTTTCGTGAAATACTGTACGCAATAGACGTCTCTGCAGAGTCGAGTACTTGAAAGTTGACGAGCGTTGCCGCGTTGACAAGCCAGACAGTTTTATGAGAGGCCTATAATACCGGCAATCGTTTTCTCAACTATGACTTAGATACTCGCTCAAACGAGGATGAGGGTTGCAAATCGAAATTTTGTATGAGAGTCTCCTCGGTTCTGACGGCTTGACCCACTTTCCACTATAGTTAAAATTTACCCACTACCAAAAGGCTTTTCATATTCGAGAATATTCATTCTACCGAGACTTCGCGGTTGGGGGTGCAAGATGAATATTGAACACTGAATAGTGGGTTTAGAAGTAAGGAACATCAATATTTTGGGTAGGAATATGACTGTTAATCGTATGAATATGAATATTAAGAGTAGGTATATATTAATATTTGAAACAAAATTTAGAATGAATATCCCCTCCCCTCTCATCGACAGGTGTTTTAGGAATTTTAAAGGCAGGAATATAAATTTTGTTGAGACTATTAAAATATTTGAGACTATTAAAATATTTACTCTTTATCGTCCGGCGATAAATTTGATATTTTGCATTGAATTACTTCTGATGAAAATATCTGGACGAGTATTCACCCCCCTTTGAAACCGAAACCATCATTGGAATCCTCATAAAATAACCTTTCGAACGGAGGGTCAAATGCTGTCATAACATTACGGAAACCAAAACAATCTTATATTTTACTCACCGCTTGGCCAAACATTTTGAAATTGATATCAAGAGAATCTTGAATATGTCTTGAACTCTTCGGAATTCGCCTCATGTCAATATAAGTAAAATACTCCTTGTATTCAAGCGCTTTTGTGTAGAAAATTTCGTTTGAATAGGACCACTTGAAATATTTATTTTTAATTTTTCAATATATCGGGTTTATACCACTGACAGACACTAAGACTGGATAGAGCATCGTAATAGAAGGCCCAACTAAAAATTGAAGCCGGAAGTAAGTCATGTTTTGAGACCGGGCGCCATGTTGAATGGCCCCACTTGAGGAGTGAAAGACTGTAGATTCTATTGTAAAACTGACATTTTTCGGCGTTTTCGCCTTATACTCGCTAAGTATGCGAAGAAATCAAGTCAAATCTGGGGATTTCAAGAACAAGCAGATATCATAGAAGTATGAGGAACATTTGAATGTTGAAAGAAACTAAATCGCAGGTAAATAATTTGATATTTTCACCCACTGGTTTTGACCGTCGAAATATCAGAGCTGACCGAACGTCAGAACACAGCATTCTACTCTGCAGATTACGAAGTAATTATGATTTTTCAGTATAAAATAGTCACTAACTACAGTACTAAAACAATTACTTAAGTTTTTGAGTGACTAGGTAGGTTTAATAAGCGGCATAACATCATAGTGTGCAATGTAAATGTAATTGAGATTTTTATGCTTGGGCTGCCAAATTTGTTTAATTAATAAACCAACTGGCCAGGGTGCATTCCATGTAAACTACGTCGGAGATACGCCAACATATGCGATAGTTCATGCCAATACATTGGAGAATTTAACTTTGGGGACCAAAATCCATGTTAAAATGGCTAACCTGGCATGTTTTATATACTGTTGGCATCATATTCTTGAGGTTATACTGTGAATATACATACTGTATGACAATCAATTCAGGTAGTTGTAGTTACACTTGTAGTTACACTTATCACTTCTTTTCGAGTGATCTCACGGCAATACACCAGCAATTTTGTAACCTCACACCGGATATATCTGGTGTGGAGTGAATGGAATGTGCACTCAGGCCATCTATTTCGGTTTGGACTTTGGAGGTTTCATGCAGGGTGGCTGAGTTGTAGGATGAAACCAAACAAACAGAAAGCCATGTCATTGATATTATCTGTTGTAGTGTACTGGATTTGTTTCAAATGTGAAATGAAATGTGTACAATGTATATATTGTGGCCAAAGCCCTGAAATTGGTTTGAAAATATTCACTATAATTTTTGTATATTGTATTTCAGTTGTACTGAAGACTCTACAAATTCAACACAAGATTGTAAATGCTATGAAGCTTTGCCCATCAGACATCAGACATCAAAAGTACAATGTTCAGTCAATATGCACCTGTAGTTGTTGTGTTAGTTTATATTACATTAAAGATATTTATCATGCCGTGTTGTTGTCAATACCATCTGCATTTTAATATGTATTTCTGCCATTTAAATAATGAGAAATATTGTAGATTCAGAGTGTTGTGGGTTTAGCTTGTCAAAATGAAAAAAAAATTCATTTTGATACACATGTCTTAAATCCCTGATTGGCCCAGGTGCCTTGTTCTTGTGAATCTTTAGCAGTTAGCAAATAGCCTTCTTTCTTGTTTCATGAGAAGGTCAAGGAAGTATTTATGATAAAATTACCAAACAGGAAACAGGTGCATTGGGAGATGAGATCTAAAGGGATAATAGTGAAGACTGAAAGAAATGTAAATTTGCATGAACATTTCATTAGTAAGTAGTCGGTAGTCAAGACAATAAGTAACTACGATAGTAATTAAATTTTGCAGCTTTAATTTGACCAGTGTTAGTATTCACAAGTTTATTTCTCAAAGCATCTCTGAATACAATATCCTTGAATAGAAATAACCTGCCAATTATTACATTGACTGGAGCATCGACTGCACGAACAGTCCACATGGAAATCAAGTGCCACGAGTGCTGCAATGTTCTTGGCTGTTAAGTCAGCATTCTGTCTTCCCAACTCCTGCAATTAAAATATCAGAGTAATCTAATAATGTGCCTTCACTCTTAACAGAACTTCATGACCACATGGGGTCATCCATTTTAATAGTTCAAATGTTTCAAATGCAAGGGAGTTTAAAAACTTTTTTCAGTTAGCGTCTGCCACACAGAAATTAATAAAAGTTTCATATAACTCAAATATAAAATTATCCCATCATTTTAGTACTAAACAAACAATGTATGAACCAGGATTTAAGTTTTGACACCCATGACAAAGGTCATATATTATTAATGCAAAACCTGCCAAAACGTACCTGTTTTATTATACAGCACTCAGCAGTAAATATCGCCGTTAATTGTACCGCCTAACTTGTTCAGTTAGTCAAGCTGCTTTGTACTTTGAATCAGTATTCCTAACTAAATGATCCAACACTTCAATATGATCTAATCCTTGTAATTTTGGCCTCCATTGACGAGTCTGGCGTTCACATCTTCAGTCCTCGCACAGTCGCACTCATTATCACGACGCAAAACTTCGGTTTTCTCTGCGATTTCATGGTTAAAAACTTCAAATTTACTTCTTAAAGCATTCATGTTATATATTCCTTTCCTGAAACAAGGTTTGTTTTGGTCCAAGAGAAGAAAATAAGCGTTTTAAAGCGAAAACTATACATTCTGTAACAGAAATCTATAGTATTCACTCCTCAAGTGGGGGCCATCCAACATGGCGGCGGTCAGCTACTGCAGCTCACTTCCGGCTTCACTCTGAACCACCGGATGCACTATCCAGTCTTAGTGTATATCAGTGGTGAATACCCGATAGCGGAGACATATGTGTTGACAGTTGCGGGGGCGTACCGCCGATCAAACATGTATGCAATGAAAAGTGCCAAAGTATGAGGTGAAATAGGCAATGTGTATGAAATAGTATCGGATATATGTAAATAGAACTGGTCAAAAAGTTTCCAAGCGCGTTGATAAGTAAGAATCGAAGAGCGCTGCAGACTGGATCGTGTCAAGAGGGAAACGATATTTCCCAATTTCGTGGCAGCAGAGCTTGAGGGATGTCTGTTGCGCAAGAATTCATCGAGGCTGATGTTTCGCGTTGAAAGATTTGAACCTGAAAGCGAGACAATAGGTCAGCCAAACGATTATACGTCCCAGGGATATGCTTTGCTTTGAATAGAATATTATGTTGCAGGCATACAAGAACAAGTTTCCGAACAAACTGCATCAGAATCTTGTCCTTGCATGACTGTTTATTGATGACATAAACCAAAGCTTCGTTATCGGTGAAAAATAAAACACTGTGGTTCGCCATCTTATGACCCCATAAGCAGAGACTAAGTACAATCGGATAAAACTCTAAGATCGCGATGTTACGATAACGCCACTCGTCAGGCCAGAGGCCATGGCAATATTCTGTGCCAAAAATTGCGCCGAAACCAATTCCACCCGCAGCATCCGTGAATAAACTAAGTTGCTGAGAATTTGCCCAGCGTTCCTCGAGAAAAAATGACCGGCCATTGTAATTTGCTAAAAACGATAGCCACACATTTAAGTCTTGTTTTGTCTCGCGATTAAGCCTGATAAGGTGATGAGATAAACGGATGCCGTGGGTGAGATCAATTAAGCGACGCAAGAATGCCCTGCCGGGAATGATGACAGAACATGCAAAATTTAAAAGGCCAATTAAAGATTGAATTTCCCTTAAGGTAATCTTCTTACGCTTTTGAAAATCAGAAATAAGGTCAACACATTTTCTCAATTTTTCCAAAGGTAAACGGGCCTCAAATCTGATCGTGTCTAACTCAATACCTGCAAAACAAAGCGTGGTTGAAGGACCACACGTTTTTTCCGGTGCCATGGGCAATCCAATAAAAGTGCAAAAATCGAGAAAACGTTTTAACCGAACTGCACAGGTGTCATAAGATGGTGATATAAGGAGAAAATCATCAAGTAAATGTAAAATAGAATCGATGAGAAGTTTTTGTTGAGCAATCCACTGTATAGCCGTACTAAAAATTTCAAATGTTTTACACGAGCTGGCTGTCCCCATAGGAAGGCATCGATCATAATAATACATGCCCTGCCATTTCATACCCAGTAAATAGTGGTCCTCTGGTCGAATAGGAATAATACGGAACGCATTTTTAATGTCTGTTTTCGCAAGAAAACAGCCCTTCCCGTTGGATTTGATTAAACGTATTGCATCAGCCACGCTGGCATAATGCACACTAGTATCCTCAGGACCAATGCCATCATTGACCGAAGATCCTCGTGGGAAAGATAAATGATGGATCAATCGAAATTCACCTGGAGACTTTTTAGGCACAAGACCCAGAGGGGAAACTCGGAACGGATGAAATGGCATGGCATGAAAAGGTCCAGCGATTCTGCCAGCGACTAATTCTTTAGAGAGTTTTTGGGTAACAACGTTTTGGTGCGCTAAAGCTGAAGTCAAATTTTTACCCTCAGTTTGGTTAATGAAGCCGTGAAAATGTAAAGAAAAACCATGCGTAAAACCTGAAACAAGTGTTTTGCTATCGTCAGGGTTATAACCCTGTAAAAATGAATTAAGATGATTTATTTGTATGGGGGTTGGGAGCGGCATTGCGCTTATCGGACCTAGCGTTTCGGTTCTGATCTCGTTTTGGTAGGCCACGAAAATTACATCTTATGGCTGGGTGTGAGCCAGCGCATTTAAAACAAGTGTGCTTAAACTCACAACCCGAACATTCCTCGCCTTTGTGAAATCTAAAACAATGGCCGCGAGGTATA